ATGTATTATTATTATTATTATTATTATACATGAACAGTGCTTAATTCTAAAGCATTATATTTTCAGGGCCTGCAATTTTTGCGGCTGAAATTTAACATGATTCTATAGCTTGTATTGTATTGTATTGTACATACATATTTCAACTGAGGAAAAAAAAGTACACACACATTTTTATTATTCAGAATCAGAAAGGGTTTTATTGCCAAGTGTGTTTATACACACAAGGAATGTGTCTTGGTGACAGGAGCTTCCAGCGCAAAGAAAAGGTACAGACATAGTGCAGACATGCATATAATAGACATGCATATATAATACAATGAAATATAACACTAATAATAAAAAGAATAGACAATAAATTAAAATAATAATAATAACTATGTGGCGTTATGACTGTGCAAATGTACTATTTATAGATTAACAGTTTTGAGAAGTAATGTATAGATGTCTAGTCCTGAGATGTGTTATGTAGGCAGAGGCAATAACATGAAGTTGATTACGTTGATTGAATTTAAATGCAAATTGAGTAGTACACAATACTAATAATAATCTGTTAACTTACTGCAGTAGCCTATATAAAACAAATTCAAACTGATAAGAACATCAAGCTGCCTGACAGGTTTATGTAGTATAGGCCAGTATTTATTAAAGGGGTCATATGATGCTGCTAAAAAGAACATTATTTTGTGTATTTGGTGTAATGAAATGTGTTTATGCGGTTTAAAGTTAAAAAAACACATTATTTTCCACATACTGTACATTATTGTTTCTCCTCTATGCCCCGCCTTTTTGAAACGCGTCGATTTTTACAAAACTCATCGGTCTGAAAAAGCGAGGTGTGCCGTTTTATTCTAAGAGTATGTAAGATGGTTTTCAAAAAAATATTAATAGTAGGCCTAAACGGTTGGCTTTTTCTGTGGTGATTTGTGTGTGTTTACACTGTGTGCTCCTGAGCGTGACCTAAAACATGGCGGAATCCAACGCGGCGAGACGTAGATTCCCATTCTCAGGGATGCTACAGTTATGGAGGCCCCTCCTCAAAGCACAAGGCCCTAGGCAATCGCCTGCTCTGCCTATAGCTAGCGCCGGCCCTGGGCAGGATTCAGGCAGCAGATGGTAGTTGCTCAAATGTTTTATTTAAAAAAAAAAACGTTGAAAGTGACCGACTGAAAGGGAACTATATAAGAACACTTTGGAACAATCACATTCTGATTAACAGAAAAACCCAAAACAAGACACAGGAAATAGGAACCGCAAACAACAAACATAAAAGTCTAGAGATGACACCGGTGATCTGTAACACCCAGATGTCATTCGCTTTAATGAGAAGTGATTGTGATTTGTTTAACAAGGCTAACCAGTTGTTGCTCTGCTGTAACCAGTTGTACACACTCTTACACAATCAATCCTGACAGTGACGATCTAATAGATCCACAGACATCGCTGGATTCAAAGCTAGACAGTAAGTATGAGTAAATGTGTTTTTTTGTCACATGTTTCTATTTAGTAATTAGAGATTCTTAGTCCCTCTTTGACGTCTATTGCTTACGATGTTAGGGGTTGTATTTAGATGAATAATCGGAGACTTCAAGGAACGTAACACCATAATTCAGCCGTGATTGAATGTCATAAGAATTCGCCTTTTGATTGTTAATGTATTTTTTATATACAAGTTTCATTATTAATATTCTAATGTGCAATACAAATGTACATTAAAGCACTGTTACAAATGAAATAAATAAGATTAGACATCAGGCTAGTGTATTCATTTTGCTAAAGCTTTTTTTCCAAGTGACTTACAAATGAGGAACAAAACATAAAATTCAGAAACTGTGCAATCAGAAGAATTTAGAACAGAAAATTTGTGGACGCTTTTCTTGATATATTGCCCAAATCAGCAAGTTTATCTTGGTATCAAACATGAAAACATGTGCTATCTAAGGAACAACATGACATGCCTTTTGAGCATTTTTTTTTCTGGTATATTTTTGTGTTCTGTCTTTCTAATATTTATCGATAACATTTATATAAAGATTAACAGTTAATGTCAACTGAAATGTAATTTAAACAAATTTGAATAATAATTTAATACACTATGTATCCATTACATCATGTTTGTTAGTTATGATGTATTTTAGGAATAGATTATAAAGTGATACCATTTAAAGGCATTTTTTCTAGTTTAAAATACATGTGCCAAATTAGTTTTGAAATGCTTTTTTTTTGCATTCATGTTTTTCATAAATTATTCAAGTTTTTTTTACACATCTTCATGGCTTATATAATTTCAGAAATGACTTTTAATTCAGTAATTGCAAATGTTTGTTCATCAGGTCATGCTTTAATTTGTATGCACTTAGTTCACTTTATTTTTAACATAGCGGTGCGGCCGTTTGCAACTTGAATGTGCTTGATATCCACTCTCTGTAACTTTCAGTTTTTAACCTGTACAAAAAAAAGCTCACTTCCACATTGCAAAGTAAGGTTAATAGCTGTGGATGGAAAACAATTCCTTGAAGCCACAGAAGAATGTTGAAATACAAATCTGGCAGAGCTGCACTTACTTTATTCCAATACATTTCATTAATTATTGCTCTTCATTGTCGTTTGTTGCTCAGGTTTGTGCATCTGATCTCACGCAGAAAGGTGCATGAGGAATCATCTCAAATCTCCTAAACCAGCTCACCATCAGAGAGCCGAAGCCCCTCAGTATTCAAACAGTATTCAAACTCTGGGAACCTTCTAGGATCTTTCTATGGTCCTCTTATAGACAGCCACGATTTTGTAATGAGGTAAACTTTTATTTTCAAAGTAATCAATAAGGTAATTATGATGGGGACTGTAATATTACAATTCTGATTTCCACAGTTGAAGGCAATGAGAAAGACGTGGGAAACAAGACGACCCACTGTATCATGTACCCAGAAACTGTCACCCATCTGGACAACAAAACACACCTGCTGCTCTTGCCCTTCAAATTACTGGATATCCGTGGATCACCAGTGCGCTAACTGATGGATCTATCAAACGGTGAGAGACCGGTTACATTTCATGGAAGGTCACATTGAAAGGTCACATTTCAGCATAAAATGAACATGGAAAAGAAAGGATTTTATTTTTCATATATCATATCATATCATATCATATTCATATCATATATATATATATATATATATACACTGTATTAGCCTATTTTTACAACAATTACATATTTGCACTGACATTTTTTTTTTATCATTGTTTAACATGTTTTCCACTAAATTCTTCACACAATTCATATCTATATATCTGCAAAAAAAAGTGTTTTCACATAATCAAACCATGATGCGTAAATAATTTAGTTTATTTAGTTAATTTAGTTTAGTTCCTTTTTTCTCTTAATGTATTACAGAACTCGGTTTATGGGTATAGACTTGCTACAAGCCAACAAGGACAAAGCAAGATCAGTATTTGGATTTTGTGTTTCAACAATAAACCTTTCAACAAAAAGAGTTAAAGACATTTGATCTGACATAATTGGGCGTAAGAAAGTATGCTTTGTCTCTACAAACTGCACCAAGGAGACATATCTATGGACACTAATACACAGACTGGGCTTGCGATAATTGTATAGGCCTATTACATGTCATGTTGTAGTCATATTATGTGCACCTCAAATTTGCACATAATATACAGTACCTGTACATACAACACTGTCTATTGTAATACACCTGCACATACAATTGTCAATTTATATATTTTTATTCCTTATTTACTTGTTCTATTTTTTTTTTTTTTGTTCTGTCACTGTCATTCTGTTACACTGTGGAAGCTTCTGTCACGAAAACAAATTCCTCGTATGTGTAAACATACCTGGCAATAAAGCTCATTCTGATTCTGATTCTGATGTGAACTATTTAGCATCACCACAATACGTAATAGTGCAAACACTCATGCAAAATGTTTTCTTTTTAATCAGGTTCTGAGTCCCAGATTTTCTCAGCCTCTTAGATTTCATTGTAGTTTCTGAAGTGGCTTATAACTGTCTTCTCGTTCATCCAGGTAATGGTTATGCACCCTGCGTTTATGCATTATGTGCGCTCTACATGGCTGCACATTAGGCGATCTTATCCGTCCACGGGTTTCCTTTTTCTAATGTTCGCCCTGCACATCTGCGATGAGGTAAAGCCTTTAAGAGTCACTGATTGTGTGGCTTCACTGTCTGGGGTTTGTGTGCTGTGCACTAATGTCAGCTACTTTTGCTGGTGTGTTTTCCTGTAGGTCAGCGTGTTTGGCTTTGGCGCGAACAGTAAAGGCACTTGGCACCACTATTTCGAAAACATGCCCAAGAATTTCAAACGCACTGGTCAACACCCTGGAGGGATCGAGTGTGTATCTATAAATTGAGTGTGTTTGTGTCTGCAAGTAAAATAATGTTTACATTAAGCAACATTTTAAAATGTTTAAAGCCGTCCACACTGTGATATACTCAAGGCAATGAGTTTAATGCACTTAAATGTATTTATTTTATTTTATCTTTTCTCAATATGGATATTTTGGTGTTTCACTTGAACATGATAATTCAGATAACTGCACTATTAAACCATATGTATTCACACATTCTTTATTTCTGTTAAATTCTTCAGCTAAATCTGCAACCCTTATCACTTCACAAGTGGCATTATTGTGAAATCTAAAATCGCAAATGTGAGTTAGCCTATGCATAAAGATGTTCTGCACATTAAATATCAAGTCTTGATATTTAAAATCTCTGTCTTCATTGTTCTGTTGTCACTTAACAGTGAAAATTGCAGTTGTTGTCATTCCAAACGTATATTACGTATATGCTCAGTATTCTTCTGTTTCTGTTGTAGTGGTGTTCGGAAGTACGATTTTGTCACTGTGAATATTGTGATACTCATTAAAATGGCGTATTAAAGTAATTAAACAAATCTGTTAGTGATTTTGATGTCAAGCCGTCCCCCCGCCCCCTTTGGCAACGAGGAATATTATTGGCCAAAAGAAACCCGGAAGTAAGCGCAGTGTTTTCAAAGCTAGTTATGCACGTGTTGGAAATATGGTCCGATTCAAATCGAGGTAATGAAGGAAAGGAGTTACTTTGCGCTTTTTAAACTTATAAACAGTTTTAACCTCTCGTTATTCTGTGACCTGTCCAGGTATTTGCTGTGTGAGGTTTGCGTCCCTGATCGGAGCAGTCTTCAGCTGTTGGAGGACAGAACCATCTACAACACACTCAGAGCAGCCGTGAACCGAGCGCACGGCGACTACGGATCAGCGCTCTTTAACATTGGGGTGATAGGTAAACACTGGGCTTGTTATTATTTTGTGCCTATTAAGATCTCAACCAGATAAGAAAGAATCAGACTGCTGCTCGTTTTACGTTACCGTTATTTTGATGCGGTGCAATTACGTAGCTTAAGATTACGTTTATTTAGCTCAGTTTAGTGTCTCATTACAAAAAGATTAAATCTTATCAAATCTCCTGTAGTGAAATACCTGAACGCCCACACTGGAGTGGTCCTGATACGCAGCAGGAAAAAACACTATCGACTCATCTGGTCTGCCCTTTCTTTCATCACCTGCCTTGAGAACAGAGGCCAGAAGGTGCAGTGCTTCCTTAACTGCTTACATGTTGGAGGTAAGAGAGGTTCTGTCTAGTTTAGCCTCCATCTGACACCAAACTCCACACCATGTGCTCTTACAGCCATCCATGCCCTTCCCTGATCTCTTCCACAGGAACGATTAGAACATGTCAGAAGTTCCTTGTTAAATATAACAGACAACAGCTCCACAGAATGCTGCCAGCCTGCAAGACAGACGGTAAGCGTTCTTTCTGTTATATTACAGTCTATCCTTAATTATATACAGAAACTCTTAAAGGCCGTGCTTTACTATTATTATTTTTATTTTCCTTCTGATCGTGACAAAAAAAAAAAATCTTATTATGATGACTTTTTTGTGTTCTCGACAAAATAGTTGTTTTCACTCTGCCAGCTTTTGCTGTAGACTAAAAACATGAAAATTAGAATACACAAATATTAAGTCACTTCTGTTTTGGAATAAATATAGCAGTAATGCTGAGTTCACACTGCACAATTTTTAAAGTCATTGGATCACTGTTGTTTTCACACTGCACGACTATCTGGGGTAGCACTCAGTTGCTGCTGTGTTCACATTGCACGATGGATCGGCGACAGGAGGTTGGCGACACACTGCATGACTTAACAATAGGAAGAATCGCTGACAACTCTGTTTGGTCTGCAAACTACATTTCGCAACCAAACGCATGCCAGAAGTGATAAGGAAATAACACAAGCTCACGCATGAGATTCTTGTATGACACTTGAAATTAGGGCTGTGCGATTAATCGAAATCGCGATTTGAGACGTTGCGATTTCCTAATCGCAAAGCCTGCGATGTGGACGCGATATTACTCTGTTCCAGAGCATATGCATGACTGCCAGCCTTGAGTTGCAATCTTACTTGCCCTGGGCAAGAGTGAGCGCACCTCCGTTCTCCCCAATCAGCACTGCTCTAGCCAACTGCGTAAACACCCACCATTAAAAAAATAAAAATAAAAAACGGACCGTGGGACGGGAGAGAGACAGAGTGGGATTATGGCGTCTACTGGGTCAGATCGATAGTTAGGCAAATTAAAACTAAAGAAAAACGTATGCAACTTAAGCTTCGAAATGACAGACAACGAACAAAAAAGGTACGTAATTTCCAAGAGCTGCGTCACAGCGCATATCAAAAGCTCCCTTATCAGTTCTGTTTTCAGTACTGGAGAATAAAAGATACATTCTTAGATGTTTTTGTTAGTACGTGAACGTTATCTTACACAGTTTCTATTGTTTTTTTCAGCAGGGTAATGATACCCATACTGTGCTGCACATTATTGACAATATTGAGCTGAAGCTTGACTTTGCAAATCAAATCGCAATCGCAATATCTGTCAAAAAAATCGCAATTTTATATTTTCCCCCAAATCGCACAGCCCTACTTGAAATGGTATTTAAAAGTTAGCCCCCAACAAGTTTGCGATACAACTAGTCTGTGTGTCGATTTGCAGTGAAAGGGCGAAAAAGAAAAAAAGATTATGGAGGAGAAAATGGTTGTGATATTGTGGTCTATAACTCCTCCCCAAACTTCCCGCTGTCTTGTATCTTGCGCTCTCATTGGCTGTAAGTCATCGGCGATGTATTTTTCAGTCAGAACTCATTTCACACAGCAGAATTTTGAATCGCCGACAGGTCCAGATATTTAGCATGCCAAATATTTCACAGGCATCAGCGATTCTATCAGATCATGTCTTTGATAATTCACACTGTGTGATTGACACTCGCATGAACGAGCACCGATATGAATAAGTTGTATAAACTAGATTTAGAACTCTGAAACAGAACAAAAATTACTGTTTTTGCTATCTATCTATCTATCTATCTATCTATCTATCTATCTGTCTGTCTGTCTGTCTGCAATTATTATTATTATTATTATGATTATTATTATTGTAAATTTGTTTGTTTTTTGTTTATTTATTATATTATTATTATTCATTTTAATTGTAGTCATGAGAAAACAATTATTTTGTTGACATCACAAGAAAAACTTTTTAAATTTAGAGATGAGAAAATTAAGTAGCGATCATGGAAAAACTTATGTCGAGATCACAAGAATACAACTATTTTGTTGTAGAACATGAGAAAACGAGTTCATTATTTATCTCGAGATAATGAGAACACAACTATTTTGTTATGTTAAGATCACGAGAAAACAGCTTTCCATGTCAAGATAACAAGACAAACTATTTATTTTTTGTCGAGATCACAAGAAAACAAACATTCGTTATGTCAAGATCATGAGAAAATCGAGTCGAGATCACAATAAACAACTATTTTGTTATGTTGAGGTGAAGAGAAAACAAACTTTGTTGAGATCACAAGAAAATAACAAATAAAGATAAAAATATAATGCATGGCCTTTAAGGGCTTCCATAATTTTAAGCACAATATATAACAGTATACAGGTGCATCTCAATAAATTAGAATGTAAATGCAGATGAGCTGAAGGCCACTGTCAAAGAAACCTGGGCTTCCATACCACCTCAGTAGTGCCACAAACTGATCACCTCCATGCCACGCCGAATTGGGGCAGTAATTAAAGCAAAAGGAGCCCCTGCCAAGTATTGAGTACATGTACAGTAAATTAACATACTTTCCAGAAGGCCAACAATTCATTAAAAATGTTTTTTTTTATTGGTCTTATGGAGTATTCTAATTTGTTGAGATAGTGAGTTGGTGGGTTTTTGTTAAATGTGAGCCAAAATCATCACAATTAAAAGAACCAAAGACTTAAACTACTTCAGTCTGTGTGCATTGAATTTATTTAATACACAAGTTTCACAATTTGAGTTGAATTACTGAAATAAATGAACTTTTCCACGACATTCTAATTTATTGAGATGCACCTGTATTTATTTATTTTGAAAAAGAGCGCCCCCAGTTGGCAAGCCATGCATATCTGGAAATGCAATACTATAAACCTGTACAGGTTTCTTTCTTCTGAAAGAATAGATCAAAATGAACATTCTGTTAATATTTACTCAGCCTCAAATTATTCCAAACCTGATTTGTTTTCTTCTGCTGAACACAACAGAGGATTCAGCAGAAAAAATTCAGGTTTGGAATAATTTGAGGCTGAGTAAATGATAACAGAATGTTCATTTTGAACTATTCTTTTAATCCACCAAGTTTGAGAACCACTGATGTAGAAGTTTCACATACTGTATGTACACTTTCTCTTTCTCTTCCTGTCCACAACACAGCCGAGAAACAAGAGGTTAGGAGAGCGATCCTGAGCTGTTCCCTGAGTAATGTCAGAGAGGAGGAAGCTGATGAAGATGGAAGCGATGATGATGGTGATGAAGAGACATAAATCCCCTCATAGAAAATACTTTAGACGAGTAGTTTAACCATGCAGTAATCAGGGAGATATACTGATAATTTATGTACTGATAGTAAAGGGTTCATGTGGAGCCCCAACATTTTTTATACCACAAGACACATTTGCATTTTTGTTTTCTGCAGCATTTTGGGATTTGTAAATGGAGTGTATCATTCAGATTACTGATATTACTGTATGAACTCTGGCCATGTGCTGTGTAGGTCACGTGTATATGTATTTTTTTCTGTACTGATTAAAATATATACTGCTGCTTCTGTTTGTTATGTCTGTAAACGTCTCTTTCGAATAAACCAAATATTAACAACAATAAATGCTTCGATAGCAGAAACAGGACTAGCTGTCTATAAAAAGTATGCGAGTGCAAGATTACACATGCATTACACCACATCTTGCAGTCAAATGCACCAATCAGAATGGCTGAATCCGCGCATGCGCACCTCGTAAACCTGCGAGGCTTATAACCCTCATCCGGGTGTTTACGGTACCCGATCGCCATATGTCTGACATTATTTAGCTGAACTAAAATTTGGGTTAAAACCCATTTATTCATCCGTTTTCCTCTTTTGGAGAGCGGTTAACGCCTTGTGGGGCGCAACACTTCCCACGCCAAGGAAAAACGGCGCTTTTCAAGGGGCGACGAGCCGTTTTAGGGGGGCGTGGCAGAGTCTTAACTTTGATAAAGAATATCTCTTTGGTTTTGAGACTTTAGCCTTTGCAACTTCAGGGATCTTATCTATGCACAATCAGCTTGTAACACTCCAAAGAGAAAGGAAAACTTGAAATCGCATCATATGACCCCTTTAAACAAATCAAACCAATAATAAACTAAATGACCTGTAAAATAATATATATAAATAAGTAGATTCATTATAAATAAATATATTGAATTACATGTATATAAATTCAGGAGATACAATTCAGTTTGTTTTAGGGAAATGTTAGGTTAGTACTTTAGGGAATTTAGTTTGATATTTATTTTTATATATTTAAGAGAGTGAGACACACACACGCACTGGCTGTGTTATCAGAAAATGAGTTTATATTAGGTGGATATGCGCTGACACAGATGAACAGCAGAATAATACACACAAACACACAGGCTGAAAACTGTAAATTCTTGGAAAAAAGGCAGAACTGGTTTCATTGACATTAAATCATGTAATGAGTATTATTAAATGTAATTTAATACCAGGATCACAGATGAAAAGGAACTGGAATCGAATGAAATGTGACATATTTCTGAATGTTAAAATGTGCAGGCAAAGTGAATTCTTCAGGTTAAAATTTTTTTTTTTAAACATTTTAAATTTAAACATTTAATATTCATTAAACTTGTAACCTTTCATGGGTTTTTGCACCTTGTAATTTTGTTTGTTTTATTAAATAGCATTCAAAAATACCAATTAATGCAATTTAATGTCTTTTAAACCAGTTCCTTTTTTCCAACTTGTTCAGACTTGGTTTATAGACATCAGCCTATATCATAATATGTTTATGTAATTTATTCTGGTGTCAGTCTAAGTGCATATGTCCTCCCAATATAAACTCATTTTCTGATAACACAGACATGGGTGGTGTGTGTGTGTCACCCTCCTATACACACAAACTGAATACTGAATATAAACAATACTGAACAATACTGAATTCCCATAAACTAACCTAACAAACTAATTAACTAGCTTCAGTGGTGTATTGCCCTCCAGCTTATAGATGGACCCAGGAAAGCCTCCAGCATATCAGAATGAAATCACTGTAGATAAGAACTAAAACTGTGTCGTATATGTTTTAGTTTTGATGTGGGCTTTTGAACCCATACGGGACGGCGGTCTCTGCTGATGGGTGATAAGCTGTGTGTGTTTACACCCCTCTGCTCTTATCATGTGGTCCTCTCTGAAACACTTTAAGAGCAGCACGTGACTGGATTGATTAGTTAAGACTGTGCGAATGTTGTCAAAAATAATTAATAATGAATTTAAAATGACCCGGGGTTTCGTTCTACAATAGCTCAGCTCGCTGAGGGAAAACGCACTTGAAGTTTACATTTACATGTAGTCATTTAGCAGATGCTTTTATCCAAAGCATCTTACAAATGAGGACAATGGAAGCAATCAAAAAAAAAAGTTGTCGATATTGCATTCAAGAAAATTAAATATTTTTCAGAAGTTGCAGGGACAGTCCCTTGTCTAATAAAATGTTATGCTTAAGAGTAATATATTGATGTTTTTTGACATTTCTCCTCCTACCCCCCCCCACCATTTTTTAGATGTTAAGAATAATGGTGGCTCAAAGCGCTATAATCGCAAGCGTGAGCCCACTTTTGCCAAGGCTGAGAGCTTTCCGGGCCCACGCCGCTCCCAGCCGCATAAAAGCAAGAATTTTGACAAGAGACCCCCTCAGAGAGGTGGCGGAGGGGGGCAACAGTATGGACTCGCTGGTGGTGGTAGAAGAGAAGAGGTGCGTTTAAATAAGCCTTTGGATTATGATTCATTTGAACTTCCATGAACGGCTGTTTTTATGCTTCCTTATTGCATGTTAATGTAAAGGTTGCAGTGATCATGCTGGTTAATTAAACACTAACCTGTAATGCAAAGTAAACAAACAGACCTGTACTTATATGGGTTAACCAGGTTTAACTGTTGGATTCTGTCATTAGGTAGCAGAGAACCGCCGGGCAGAGTTTAGCCCGGCTCAGTTTGCTGGACCCAAAAAGATAAGTCTGAACCACCTGCTCAACTTCACTTTCGAGCCACGAGGAGGCCATTTTGGCTCCGGAGCTGATGGCCACTACTGCTGGGGTCGCCGCAACAAGTGGGGTCACAAACACAAGCCCTTCAACAAGGAGCTTTTCTTGCAGGCTAAGTGAGTACAGCAGAGTATGTTGCAAACATTTATATGAATTGATATTAAATCACGTGCAACAATACTCTGTGTACTGCAGTGTTATCATAAGCTGATAAAATTAGAAAACTGCTTAGCTGATGAGTGTATTTTCTCTTTGTCCACCAGTTGCCAGTTTGTGGTAATTGATGATCAGGACTACCAAGCCCACTTCGCTGATCCGGACACTTTGGTGGACTGGGACTGTGTGCAGCAAGTGGTCAGTTGAGGCTTCACACTTCCTTGTACATCCTGTTAGTGCCTTTTCTACAAATCTCAGTGTGTTCATCATGGCGTTTTTTTCTCATTCCACACAGCGCATCTACAGTCACGAGGTGCCGTCTTGTCCGATCTGCCTGTATCCCCCTGTGGCGGCCCACATCACGCGCTGCGGCCACATCTACTGTTGGCCATGCATGCTGCACTACCTCTCTCTGAGCGAGAAGAGTTGGTCCAAGTGCCCCATTTGCTATGAGGCCGTGCTCAGCGCTGATCTTAAGAGGTTCGTACAGAAAACACCTGTTTATAATACTTGTTTGGTTTTTAAATTAATGTTAACATCATGATGTAGAAATCTGTTATTTTATTTAAATCAACCCCTGGCATATAGAAGTGCCATAATTCAGTCAAGACATTGTTGTCACTGAAGCCTGTCTTGTCATCTTTCAGTGTGGTTGCAATGGAGACGCGTCAGTACGTGTCTGGTAACGTCATCACTATGCGTCTGATGCGGAGAGAGAAAGGATCGCTGGTGGCTCTTCCCAGCTGTCAGTGGGTGAAGGTGGAAGAGCCCATTAATTTTGGAGGTGAGACATTTTGCTGTTTGCGTGAGCCTTTATAGTGTTAATTTGAGTGGGTCTTTTTTGACACTTTTCTTTTTTTGACACTACAATTTGTTGCAGATGTGCATTTGCGCGCATACTCTAAGCTGCTGTTGGCGTCTCAGGAGCAGGTTTTGGGTTTGCTGAGTGAAGAGAGGGTGGCTCTCCAAACCCAGCTCAGCCAAGAGAAAGGCGACCCGCAGGCCTGTTTCATACAGAGCGCGTTGCAGCAGCTGCAGGTACACATGCATTCATGCTGGCATATGAATGTTGGGTTGGACAAGTTACAAACCACTTAAACCTGAAACAAGCTAAACAAGTCACGCTACTGTTTTGAAAAAATGGTTTGTATAGGTTGCTTATAGTTTGGACATGACAATAAGGTGAAATAAACACTGAATTGTGTAACATATGTAATTTATTGTATAATTTATTACAGAAAACAATGAGAATTTGGGTTGACCGCACCAAACTTCATCATTTACATGCAATTATCTTCTGTTTCGTAAACTGTTTTTTGAAACTAAAAACAAACAATGACAGTGACATTTAAAAATAGCTGAAAAAAGAACCGGAAAACTTACGTGACTTTGGATTGTGTTGCATAACTTTCTGAGAATACTTTGGTTAACTTAAAACTGCACAAAAATAAATGAAAACGAAGTTGCGATAAGTTACTTAAATAGCTTAAACTACATTTAAAGCTATTTCAATAACTTGCATCTTGTACCTCAAGTTAATGAATAATCTATTACATATAAATGATGAGAATTTGGGTTGACCGCTTAAACAACTGACTTTAATGTTTTATAAACATTATCTGCTTCATAAACTATTTTATAAATCTGAAAATATATAATGTGACATTTAAAAAAGGCTGAATTTTTACTGGAAGTGCTACATGACATGGAAAAAGCATTGAGCTATGTTACACTATTAGTTTTTTTTTGTGCGCGTGTTATTTATTCCCTAACACTGCACACAAGCTGAATTTTTACTGGAAGTGCTACATGACATGGAAAAAGCATTGAGCTATGTTACACTATTAGTTTTTTTTAGTGAACACATAACCCTCACATTTTATCTCTGACTCTGAACGAACAGGAGCGTGAGGAGCGTCTTTTGAAGGGAGGCTGTAAAAATGGTGGTTCTGTTGATGGGGCGGACATGTGGAAACTGTCTCTGTCTGAGCACTCCTCTCCAGAGGTGACCGTGGTCAAGAACCTCACAAATTCAAAGGTTGGTAGAGGCAGTGCTCCTTTCTTTTAACATAAGGTTAAGTTTTAGTCCAGTGCTGTGTTGCAAGTTTATAGCTTTCAATTTTATGAGACACATATGGTGCGATCTTGTGTTTAGGTCACCTGATTGAGTGAACAATATTCAGTGAATTATTCCACTGCAGTTCACATGTAATTTTAAATATTTTAAATACATTTTAAAGCTTCTCTTTTCTTTACTTCTGATGCATATTATTTACTTTACTATGGGAATGTTTGTAATGTAGAGAAACGGCATGGACCAGATACCTTATTTATCTGCAAATCGAATTAAAGCATTTGAACTTTTCTGTAAATGTTTATAAAATTCAGTAAATCACTGTAAAATTCTGGTAACAAAAGCTCAGTGCATGACTTATGTAT